GAGATCTTGCGATACAGTCCGAGCAGTAAATGCGGAAGTTAGATCCAAACACCCGTTGTGTGGGAGAAGCATTGAAATGAACTGTTTAATCTGCCCATCATTTGTGTTGAGAGATCAGCAGTGTTTGGATCAACAAAGTGTGACTGCTTTGATAGTAGAAACCGTATTTATGGCTTATTTTTGTGCATTTAAAGTTCAACCGCCATTGATAGTTGTTAAAAGTTGTTAAACCTGTGCATATGAAACAAAAAACGCTTTTTGTTATCGATTTATTGTGAAATAACGGAAGCTGTGCTTGCTCCCTTTCCTGTTGGGCGGTTGTGATTGCTGTCCATTGACTGCGGAGGTGCTCCGGCGTCCGGCAAAAATAGAATCGATCCTATTTTTGCTGGATGGCGGAACGGCGGGCGGCGCACTGCGCCGCACGGCCGCAGTAGTGGAACAGCTCTGATTGACTACAACGAGACCGTTTTTGCTGCGGAGTTCGTGCCGAAGCGGAGATGGTGGAACTTTGGGGTTAGGGGGATCCTGCAGGGTGCGTGGGAATTTGCCCAACCAGTCTACATGTGTTTTGTGGATTTGGAGAAGGCGTTTGACTGCGTCCCTCGGGGGGCCCTGAGGGGGGTACTCCGGGAGTATGGGGTGCCAGGCCCTCTGATATGGGCTGTTAGGTCCCTGTATGACTGGTGTCAGAGCTTGGCCCACATTGCCGGCAGTAAGTCGGGCTCGTTCCCAGCGAGAGTTGGACTCCGCCAAGGCTGCACTTTGTCACCGATTCTGTTCATAACCTTTATGGACAGGATTTCTAGGTGCAGCCAAGGTGTGGAGGGCATCCGTTTTGGTGGCCTGAGGATCAGGTCTCTGCTTTTTGCAGATGATGTGGTCCTGTTGGCTTCATCAGATCGTGATCTTCAGCTTTCACTGGAGCAGTTCGCAGCTGAGTGTGAAGCAGCTGGGATGAGAATCAGCTCCTCTAAATCTGAGACAATAGTCTTGATTCGGAAAAGCGTAGAATGCCTTCTCCGGGTCAGGGATGAGGTCCTACCCCAAGTGGAGGAGTTAAAGTATCTTGGGGTCTTGTTCACAAGTGAGGGAAAACTGGAGCGTGAGATTGATCGGTGGATTGGTGCTGCATCTGCAGTGATGCGGGCATTGTACCGGTCTGTCATGGTGAAGAGAGAGCTGAGTCAGAAGGCAAAGCTCTCGATTTACCGGTCGATCTACGTTCCTACCCTCACCTATGGTCATGAGCTTTGGGTAGTGACCGAAAGAACGAGATCACGGATACAAGCGGCCAAAATGAGTTTTCTCCGAAGAGTGACTGGGCTCTCCCTTAGAGATAGGGTGATAAGCTCGGTCATTCGGGAGGGGCTCGGAGTAGACCCGCTGCTCCTCCACATCGAAAGGAGCCAGTTGAGGTGGCTCGGGCATCTGGTCAGGATGCTTCCTGGACGCCTCCCTGGTGAGATTTTCTGGGCACGTCCAACTGGGAGGAGACCTAAAGGTAGACCCAGGACACGGTGGAAGGACTATGTCTCTCACCTGGCCAGGGAACACCTTGGGATTCCCCCAGAGGAGCTGGCCCAAGTGGCTGGGGAGAGGGAAGTCTGAGCCTCTCGCCTTAGGCTACTGCCCCCGCAACCCGACTCCGGATAAGCGGATGAAAATGAATGGATGGATGGATGGATGGATGGATGGATGGATGGATGGATGGATGGATGGATGGGAAAGAAAACATCCTCTCCTTGGCTACGTAATTTGGAAAGTATGTTAAGTTAGACTAAAACCCAGAAGCTGATGGAAGGTATCTGTTCTAGAAGGCAGAAAAATTAAAGTGTCACTTTCCTCAGTGCTCCTGTCAAAGTTATAGATGATCATAAATTAAATCTAATTTCATACCCAGACCTGGTGGCGACCTAATCAGTGTATAGTTTCCTGGAAAATAAAAGATAAGTAAAGAAATACCAAGTAAGGACGGTATTTGAAAAAAACTAACAAAAAAAACACCACACATTTTGGAAATAAATGCTATAAAACAATTATATTTCTGAGAGCCACTTTTCATCCTGGAAGAGCACTTTGGAGCGGTGATGAGAGGGGACAGCTGAGTGTTGGATGGGCCCTCAGCCAAATGATGGTTGTGTCCCTCACCTTGACTGCGCCGAGGAAATCACAGCATCCATCTCGGTGCGTCCACAGATGTAATAGCCCTTCATTGGTCAGCACCTGACTCCTCCTCACCGTGGCAGAAAAACACTCATGCTTCTCTGGGATTCATGCACACAGGGCAGACCGCAAATGGAAATTTTAGACGTGTGCTTCTGAATGGCACATTTGAGACACTTGGGTGCACAGTGTAGGAGGTCCAGGTCCGTCAAGACTGTAATTTCCCATCCCGTGATGTGGAGAGCACTGTTCCGGGGAAGTCCTTTATGATTTCTCATCTGTCAGCTCCGTGAAGACCAGGGATTGATCTGTTTAGTGTTCATATTGCGGCTTCTGTAACTACCACCTGTAGTCTGATCCAACCTAAAAATAAAGCAGCTGCTCAGTTAGCGCGGAGTAACGTGACACTACAATTAAAGCAGGCATTCAGGGTGGGGCAGTGGCCATCCATGGCATATTTTTGTTTCTTGGTGTCCTTTGTAAAGCGGGACTATATCCACAATCCTAAACCCAGCTTTGGTCCTGTTTTACTGAGAAGGACTTGCATGGTTAGCTTTTCTCATCCGGCCATCGCTCAGCTGCACCGGCTTTGTGCTTCACCTTGTTATGTTCCGTTTGATGGAGAAAGCGGCCTGCATTTCCAATTCAAGCAGCATCAGCTTCATCAAATCTGGTAAAGTGTTGGTGATAAATTAGCATTATAGGAAACATATAACAGCAATGTTTTTAAGCATCACTTGGGGAGTCCTATGTGGTGTTTAAACAGTTTGTCAAACTAAACATTTCTAGTAAGATATTTTAGAATACAACCCAACACCACATCATGAATCTACAGTTTTACAAATGAAGATAACAAAACTAGAAAACGTAGTATTGTAATGTAATTAACAGCACAATAAAAATGTGACATTTTGAAACTTTCTCTGCTTGACTGCTGTTGTTATGTAAAAGAGCAATATGTAAGAGTTTTACAGTGACATAATCACTAAACAGTCCAATGCCTCGGTCATGTTAGAAGGGAACAGATTTGCTTTTCAGCCGGTTGTCAGTTTTCCACCTTTCAAAAGAATCTAAAGAGACGTAGTTACTGTTTACCATCAATCTGCTTCGAGCTAACGCGGCAGCGTTGGCATTTGTGCTTCAACAACAACAGTGAAAAAGTTGTTTAAAAAGACTTGTGTGTAGTTTTTGCCATTAATCTCTGGAAATATTCATCAAAATGTTGAAAATTAAATAAATGATGCCCATTTGTTGAAAAATATTGGCGGCTTCATTACATATAACCATAAAAACTGGGTCTAAAATACAAGAGCGGGTCTAACCATATTAGATGCCTTGTTTCCTCCTACGGGAGCCCGTGAGGACAACATGCATTTACTGATGTGTAACAAATGGTTACAAAACTTTCGCCATTTATAAATGTTGTTTTACAAATTTTCCTCTTCACTCGTTACTGATGAAAGGGATTCTGGGTGCTTGTCATTTTGCCGGAGTTTGCGTTCCTGGGGATTTTTTACCCTTTTGGCCATTCATTGGTAAGCTCTTACTGGAACACAAAAACAGATTAAGATTTGACCCATCCCCATGGGGAGAGGCGAGCTGCAGACACGGCTGCGCTCAGGAACAATTTGGTGGTTTAACCCCCAATCCAATGTCAAGCAGCGAGGAATTGGGTCCAATTTTTAAAGTCATTGGTATGACCCAATTTGAACCCTGATATCCCAGTCCCAGGGCAGCCACTGAGCTGGTTGATGGCCCCAAATACCGCTTACTTGCAATGATTTAGGTATGTATTGCCAGAAAAAATACACACTGTCACTTTAATGAACCGAAGCCAGTAAACAGGAGTGACCTAGAAGGTATTTCTTGTACCCCTAAGAAGCCAAGGCATCTTTTTGTTTTTCTCTAATATCAGGTGAAGCAGGCTAGAGGCTAAAGTTGAGCTAACAATGCTAACAGTGAATTAGAAGCAAACATTAAGCTATAAAAATATCTCAAGTTACTTTTTCAATTACCAACAACTGGATACTTCAGTGAAATTTATGTGTGAAGTGAACAATGGGTCAATCATGGCATTTTACTTCCTTTAATGAGTCATTCAGGACTGTATAACAGCAAGCTAACAAACACACTTTCAAAAAACCTGTAGTAAGTGCTCCCCTCGTAAAATATCCTAGAGTGCTAGCACTAGATATGACAATGTATTTATCTATTTATCAATTTATGGTTCATGACTCATCTTTACTTGTTATCTAGAATCTTCTGGCCTTCATTCGTAACTGGTGACAGCCATAAAACATATGGAATGGCAATGAGAAAGTGATTTTTTTTTGTTTAGAAAAATGGATCAAATTTGACCACGTGATGTCATTCTTACATATTGCACCTTTAAGAATGCATTATTTAAGTGTAAATATAGTCACCGACAACATTAAGCCCTCAAAACCTTTTCAAGTTATTATCTTTGAGCTAAAAAAGACACAATCAAGAAACAATAATACATGAAAACCTATAAAACTTACCAGCAATATATATGCATATGAGAAGAAATCTAATAAAAGAGATAACTACCCATTCAGTCAAACATCCATCAGTCCCTTTCTTTCCATCAGCCTCTGTCTCTACAAAGCCCTAAGGTTGGGAGGAAACCAAAACCATTGCAAAGAGGCAGCAATTGACTTTAAATCCTTGTTCATTTAATCATTTAATCCCTCTATTTTCCATCTCTGGTGGGATTTCTGAACAAAAAATCTTAAGCCTATTAAGCTTGGCTTTTATCAAACTAGTGAGCCAAAGCTTGCTTTTTCAATTTTTTCCTCCCATCGTTTCCACAGTGTGGCACCATCAACTCAGGCTCCTATGTGAACCTGACTCAAAGGAACCTGCAGGACGCTCAGAAGTTTTTGCTGATGCACGAGGTGGTCCAACCCGTGGTGCCTGTGCCCTACTTCATGGAGGACAACGTCCGCTTCACTCACATCGCAGTGGATGTGGTGCAGGGGAAAGACACGCTGCTTCACATCATCTACTTGGCCACTGGTATGTTCTTTATAAAAACCTCCTTTTTCCTGCAAGAATAAGAAGTTTACAGTTTGTGTCAGCAACTCTCAACAAGTTTCTTTTCTTCATTTGCATTTTATTTGGATGCTGTTCAACGTCAGGTCACCTTAAGATTGTGTTCCCTCTGTTGTGCCGTCCTCAGCTAGGATCTCTAGCCACTTCACACAGAATATTTTTGCACTTTTACTTTGAAATGGGTGGCATTTAGTTCAAAAAGGTCACAAAATATCACAAAAGCAGAACACAACGTTACAGTCCCGCATAAGAAGTATGACTGCAATTAACTTATACCTTACTGCTTACAATGACTCTTACTTATTCAGCCTTGAGTTGTGATTGTTACAAAGAAATGCTCGACTTTAGAGGCTTGAAGTGCACTTTGCACACAAAAGAATTAGCCTGTAGGAAGATGAATATTACCTATCATTCTGTTTTATCATCATGCAAAGATCAAAGCTTTGTCTTTGACATAAGCTTGGCTTCTCTTTACCTACACGTGCTTTCCATACGAACACAAATCACACACAGTCACTAAAACCTGGTTATAAACACCAGAAAACAGCAAGTTGTGTCAAAACAAGACAGATGGATGATTAAGAGCACATGCAGACTGTTGCATGTGTCTCTGTGGTCCCATCTGCTCATCACTGGGTTGTTTGGTCATACTGGTATGTTAGTATGTGATGTTAGACTTAGCAAAGTGTGGAAAAGAGTCACCGGTTAGTCACCGGCGTTTGAGGATCTGGATTGTGACAGAGTGCGTGGATTGGAAACAGATGCACAGAACAGAATTTGAATGAAGTGACCCACTTCACTGTGCTAATGAACCGTGAGCCCTCTGGGAAATGTCAGCGTGATCCTCCTGTTGAAGGGTCGGTGTTATTTTAGGGTATTTCACATATCGTGTCTGATATAAGCCCAGTGCGCCTCTCTTTTCCCCCCACATACACACTCCTATAGTCTGTTCCAGTTCACCAGCCATGTGTTTGGCATCTCCCTTAAAAAACCCTCTCACTGTTTGCATGGTGATGTGATCAGTGTAGCAGTGATCCAGCGCAGCCCACGTAGCAAGTTCCCCAGACACTAACCAGACACTAATGAAAACATCTGAAACACTGCCAGGGCCAGTGGCTAGTGCCCATACTGTATCTAATCACATGCTGTTATTAACGCCCAAACGCTCCCCGCTGATTGGGGCCATTGTGGGGAGCCTAATAGCTCCAACTGGGAGTCCGTAAACGTCGAGGTGTGAGGTTCGTTGGCCTGAACAGTGGCTTGCTGTGCATTTCATCTAAACTGTTATTCAGCAAGCTCTGGAGCGGGATTATTTTGTCTTAAACATAACTGGAACAAAGTTCGGTGATTGGTTCACTATATCAACTATTGCTCATTTAGCTAATTTTGTATTGATTATTTAAAATAAAAATTCTGGATCCTGCCTCTAAAGCCCAAATGAGTGGTCCAATGTGTTTCTTGCATTAGGGGATGAATGCCCTTTGAAGAAGACACACCATGCCGGCAAATCAGTGTAATACTGCCGCCACGTCGTGTCTTCTGAACACGTTGTGGCGGTACGGCGCTGCAGGACTTTAGCGGTATTTGTGCCGCGACGTTTGGTATAATGTTGCTGCAGCGCCGGATTTGTGAATGCGTTTTACACCTGGGAGATGTCGAGATCACATGGGGGGTTACTGTTGAGCTCTGGCCATATTAAAAGTCAGAATGAAGTCAGACTAAGGCCGTAATTCGCTTTGCTGACACTGCACTATAAATTCAGCTTTCACGGTAAAGCTACAGCCTTCATGCACTTACTTGAACTCCGATTTAGCTTAAATTAAAGCCTCTTTGTACTGCTTGTTGCACGAAATGGTAATGTCATTACTGCCCACGCTGCTTGGGGCAGGACCTAACTTTTACTTTCTCCGCCTTTAAGTTGCCTATTAGCATTTCACCCTCTTCTCTTCTGGCGCTACTGTACACCTAATTACTTTGTGCTCACCCAGGGGATTGCATGTATAATAGATTATTTTTGTTTTAACTTTCCCAAAAGGAAATTTGCCTCGAACTGCATTTTTCAGGGCCCGCCTAGCGCAAAATAAAAGGTCAGGATGTATTCACAGTGACACAGATTTCCACGCTTCTATCTCTCTCAACACAACAAAGAGGTTTTATCCCTTAGAATATCCCCTGAAGTAGAAGTAGGCCAGAAATCATGCATTCAGGTGCCACATTGAATCCCTTGTTCCATCTACAGCTCTGCATATTGATGCCATAACCAAAGCCTGGCACATCTGGCCCCACCTCTCCTTCTCATGGGCTGTTTTCACAGCTTTTCTGTTAGGAAGTGATTTTTGTGTGGTTCACACATCGTTCACGCAGGCTTGTGTGCTATTTTTCTCCTCCAGTATATGTTCTTTGTTGTTTTTCTACTCTCCAGTGCCTTTAATTCAATGCCTTCCTCCATTAGTTTACCTTTTCTCTTGAGGATAATCGCCCTTCGTCATCTTTCTTGTGACCACATCTGCCTTTCGTCTTTTTTTTCTTCCAGATTACGGCACGATCAGGAAAGTGCTTTCTCCTCTCAACCAGTCCACAGGGAGCTGCCTATTGGAGGAGATCGAGCTGTTCCCGCCCAGGAAGAGGCAGCCCATACGAAGCCTGCTGATCCTGCACAGCCGCAGCGAGCTTTATGTGGGCGTAAGGGACCAGGTCATCAAGATCCCACTCAAGAGATGCAGCTACCACAAGAGCAGAGAGTGAGTGCATGCGCAAACAAACGCCATTAATCTCAGCGGGAGCTGTCAAAAGCAAATGTGCTCACACCAAAAGTTTTCAAAGCCTCTTCCTTCGTAAGATAGTCTTTATCAGAGAGGACCAGGCCTTGGTGTTGTTCAGGGGGCTTTGCAGAAACTTAAAACCCTCCAAATCAGCTTTGTCTGAGCCACTAGAGGTGCCCTAGCTGCCCCCGGTCTCCTTGACTGGGTAGCTGTTGGTCCTTTTGTCTTTTGACGATCAGACGTATTATGTTTATGTCTGCTAGGAAAACAAATATCTGACTCTCGTTCTTGATTGCATGAAGTGAAGTAGAATCACATTCCGTTCACATGCCGAGCCAGCGTCTGCTCCTGCAGCAGCACATCTTTTATACTTTCACTTTCAGTAAAAGTTCAAAAAACAATTTGAGGGGAAAATAGACAACAGATGAAAGAACCAAGGGCCGGCTGCTTTTGGGATTCATCAGTGACATTATCTGCTACCTTTGAAATGTTAGTTCTCTCTCTCTCTCTCTCTGACCCCCGAGACATAAATGTGTTTGTCCTGTTTTCCACTATTGTACCGCCGTCGTCATCCCTGATATCTGTGTCCCAACCGATGCCATCTGCTACTGCCTGCTCTTTGTTAGCTACCCAGACAACGTTGCAAGCACAAGTCTCGGCTTATTTGAGCAGCTATATGTGAATAGATACCATTTGATCATGTTTGGCTTGCATAAGCTCTCTCATTTAGTGTCTCCGCTCTGTTCATTGTTATGAAATCCGCACCAAGGGCATCTCGCGGAGCGTTGACGCCCGCGGCCGTACGATATGTCACCGAGCTGTCAGCAATGAGTTGCTTATGAGGAAAAAAGTAACATCATCCTTTTTTTTATTGTGCTCAAAAAACCATCTGAACTGCTGAAATATTTATAGGAAAGCCAGAAACTCTATCTTTACTGAAAAATCCTGAGTGAATTTTTGTTGAGTGGATAACTGAAAATGTAGTGAAGGTGCAGAATTTTTTCTCCTGACTATAATATATAATATTTAAAGTAATTTAAGTGGTGTTATTTTCTCAGATTTGGTCCTTTTTTTTTCAACAATCTAGTCTTTTACTCTCTCTTAAAACTCTCCTCTTGCAGCGTTTCCCTTTTTGTAATTCCTCATGACACTTCCCTCCAAGTTCAGATTTTTCCGCACATCTTTTTGTTCTCACAAGACCTTCCTCTTCCATCTCGCTCTTCTACCTGATGTTTCGCTTCACGCTGCCCCACAATGCGGCACCGTCTGTATGGATAGATGACAGCTTAATAAATGCCTGCTAATGGAGGATGTTATTCTTACCGTCTAGAGCCTGTGTAGGAGCCAGAGACCCCTACTGTGGATGGGATCTGTTGCTGAAGAAATGCACTACCTTGGAGGAGAGTGTCAGAATGAGCCAGTGGGAGCAGAGCATCTCCAAATGTCCTGTGAGTACTGAACAGTCTTCTAGTCTGTGCAAAGCTTGAAAAACGTCATGTCTTTCACCCAGAAATGGAAAAAAGCTAGACGTGGTAATGTTTTCTTTACACACTACTATAAATCTGGGTGGCAAATGTATGTAAAAGTTTATTTTCAGTATCTTCTTGTGCAACAATGCCTGCAGCTAAAAGCTTCTAGTAGACATTGATCATCCTGCACCTGAGACTTTAGTCATTTTAAGCCTCTGGATTAAAAACTCTTGTTTCACACAATCATTTTATTGTTGGGAAGGGCTGAAAGATGTAGGATAAGGAGGACTTGGTTTACAGCACAAGGACATGAATGGTCTTTGCAGCGATGTTGGCGAGGTTTCCGGGACCATATTAGGCCAGTAGATAAGGCCCTGTTCACACAACAGGATTTCTTTTAATTGGTTGGATGGTTTAATAAACATTACAGACCACACACACGGTGGTAAGAAAATTCTGGATACACCAGTTTTGGTCCTGCAGTGTGTGGTGTCCGGTCATAAGGCAAAAACGTCACACTACACACAAACAAGTTACATTCACGATCATTCCCCGGTCACACGAGAAATCTCGTAAAAATTCTAGAGATCAAACTTGACCTGGAGCGAAGAAACGTGGTGGTGGAGCGTGCAGCACGCCTCCATCACCTTGCTTTACGATTGGCTAAAGACTCAGATTAACCATGCTGATCCCTCAGGATAGGTTCCTCTGGGAAATTCTGATTTTACACACCACAATCAAAAGGCAGCACGCTCGTTTGGCCTCGAAACTTGGATCGACGTTTTTGGAGAGCCCCGATTTATGATCTGTGTTGTCCCGGCGTCCTTTCAAGGGTACCAGAGAGCTTTTAACACACCACACACAGTAGGAATGTCTGATAAGATTATCTTCAGAGCTTTTACGGTAATCGAGCACATCCTTAAAGCTGTCGGAAGGGGAGGACTGGTCAAAAATCTACACAATTATCCTGCTGTGTGAACTGGACTGCCACTGTTGGAGATGTCTGAAAATATTTGCAGGTGTGAGCTGCAGGGCTGCGTCCTCGGGTTCCTGTTATTTTGAACGTTGCACGACTCATATTTTCTTTCTAATTGGACTTGAAGCTGTCATAGCCATCTGGAACCCATGATAATTTAGTTTCTGACCAATTCAGTGTGATTCAAGTAGAAAATTCAAAACAAATTTCTTTCTGCTGCAAGAGGCCCAGTGTGGTGGGTCAATGATTATTTGTGCAAAGACGTCTGTTTTAGGGTTTTCTTGATTTATTATCATGGCTGCTGTGTATCAGAGTGCTGAGGGTGTGTGTAGTAGTGATGTCTCATACTGTGGGAGCTCTGAGTGGTGCAAGGCTGGCAGCTCTGACCCGATGCCTAGGCTACTATCCCATCACCTTATTAACTACGAGCTAGCTTGTCAGGGTTCGAGCACATTACTGCATCCTGACAGGAGACCTGTAGAGCCAGGATGTGGTAGGATCACCGTAGAAACTTGCTGCTGACATATGGAGCATGATGAGGGCACGGGAGAATGTCTCAGGAATATGGAGATTAGTTGAGAAAACCTATTTGACATACACTGTGAGAGTAGCAGCAGCACGAGTGCCGTCACAATGAAGATTTTCCAAATCCCGCCACATCCTAATCGGAAGAGCAGCTGGACTTCCATCTAGTCCCAGGTATCAGGATCTGTATCCCATGCACATTCTTATGAAGGATGTTGTGTTTTCTGCTCTACGTTTAAAACACCTAATAAAATAAAATAACACTTTTATAAATTATATTTCTACTGTAACACTGCACAGATCTGTCACAGTAAGGAAGGAAGCTGCAAGGCTGTGAGTGAACAAGGAGATGAATGTGCAAGCGTCCATGTTTTAATGAATATTTAACACTTCTGATTTTATTACATGTGGGACTTTTTATTTATAGGAGCCGGTTTGGCCGGGGATAGACATCATCTAGCAACATCTAGACAAATAAGAGCGGGCTGCCAGACTAAGACTCATAAATTAATTCGAGAGCACTTCACTAATCTATTACATGATGTCCAGACAGGATTTTTCCTGTTTTTCATGCTGCTGGGCACAAAAATAATTACACACAAGAACGCTGTGTCACCACATTCTGGTAAAAGGGGTATTGCGTCACATTTATCAACCTATTAATCCACAGGACTTTTTTTTTCCTGCTTTCTAGATTTTCTGGATAACCGTAACTAACTACAGACCGACATTAGCGTTATTCGGGTGAATAACTGGTACTCATTATTTATTCTAGGTCTGATTCTCACATCAGACACACGTGTTTAGCTAACCGATCTTTGATTGTAAACTGGGCAGTTGTGTATTGCATAATTTATCAGCATTATTTCTGTAACATGGTTAGGTGGCTGGAGAAGAGACAGAATGATTGATCCCAGTTATGTTTGTTTAATAGATGTCAAGCAGGAGACATTTTCTGTTTGCTTTGATTTGCTGAGATTCACATTTAAGGGCCAACAGCTGGCCTGGCAGCAGCACGGTGGTGCAGCGGTTAGCGCTGTTGTCTACAGATGGTGTATTCTTCCTCTTTTCTTCGCACGGTAGAAGATTTTACTCTTTTTCTCTAAAATTAGACAAATGAGAAGCGAATTTTAATTCTCTGATTAAAATTCAGATTAAATCTCCACACCAATAACAAAGAATAATAATCTTTCCCATTTGCAGGTTTTTTGTTTAACTTGAGACAGTATGTAAATTATTATTATTATAATAAGTAATACGAATAATAATTCCAGAAAGCACCTTCTACAACTAGCACGGTGGTGGAAGGTTGATGATTTGGGTTGTTTGTAATCCACAGGACATTGACGACATTATCCACCATTAGCTTCTACATACCAAAGTGTTTTAGAGTCCAGTGTAAGGCCATCTGTTCAACAGCCGAAGCTTGACTCAAATCTGCAACAGAATGGTTCGTAAAAGAAAAGCATCACGTCATGATTGCCCGGCTAATCCCCAACTTAAAAGAGCTGAGCTCCAGTGAATGCCAGCAAACATCAACGTGCAACAATGACTACGTTTACATGCAGCCAATATCCGGGTTATGACCGGGTTAAGGTCGGTATTCTGGTTTCTGAGTTGATCAGAATAACCCGTTTACAAGCATAAATAGAAAGAGTTACCCCCAACTTGCATAACCCGATTTAAATGCGGACGTTGGGGTATCGTCAGGACGTATGGACTACGTCCAGACGCAATATGCGTCATTTCTGGTTCTTGTTCCGGTATCCGTGAAAACAACAACATGTTTCCCAGTGCGGAAGAGATAGCGACCGCGTTTGTTTGCGCTTTTGTTTCCTCGTCACTCCAAAAGTGTGGTGCTGTGCCCCAACTTGTTGTTTACTTCCGGTGTTCTGGCGCATACAAGACGTCTCGCTACTCAAAAGACCAAGATTCCTTGCGAACAGAGCATGCGCAGAACACACGCTTTGATGAGGATATCCCAACATGCGTTTACAAGACCAAACATTCGGGTTAGAAAAGGGTTACCCCAGGTGTAGGAACCGGGTTTTTAAAAACCCGGTTATGAGCATATCCGGGGTTTTGCCGGTGTTTACAAGGACCTGCGGAACCGGGTTATTGTGAATATTCGGGTTTTAAAAGGGTTACTGGCTGCATGTAAACGCACTGAATGTTGTAAAGCAGTGGTTCCCAAACTTATTTAGCCGCGCACCCCCTTCTATGTCCCGACCATGTCGACGCAAACCCCCCCCCCCCCCCCCCCCCCACATCGGGGCATGGCTATATATAAATATATATATATATATATATATATATATATATATATATATATATATATATCAGATGTCAAGCTAAACAGTCAGGGTTAAAAAAATTCCCCATCACTTTCATTTTTTAAATAGTAATCAATGAAGATTCGATACCATTACAATTTCCTTTGATTTAATTTTAAATAAATATTTAGAGTGCCCAGGTAGCACATAAAAAATGCAGTTTAACGGTTTTCTTAAAGTAGGAACGTTTAACCTGTGCGGCCAGAGCGCTCTCCTTCCTTCTGCTCTGCGTAAACCTGAGCTGATCACCTACTTGTGCGTAATCAAATGTCAGTAGGGGACAAGATATAGCCATGATGTTCACTTTTACCTCAGACCGACTTATTGCTGTTTTATGGTGTGGCTGAATCTGCGATCCGCTGCCACGCAGACTGGAATAACAAATGCTGCAGTAACATGAGATGTGGTCAGGTTCATGAGGAGTCACTGGCTGGAGCGGACCCGACTCATCCCAGAAGCTAATATCTTAATTTCACCTTGAATGAGAAATAACCTCTTAAAAGTTTTTATCACGGTGGAGGCAGCGTTCATTTCTGCCTTCAGTCTGACGGCGCGCCGGAGTTAAAGCAGCGTGCGTGCTTATTGAATCTGTGTGTGTGCGCTCAAGTCACCGCGTCTCGTTACTGCCCAGCCCAGATGTGCTCACATGTGCACCCGTGAGCCGTGGTTCCGCTGGAACACGTCTGACCTCTGACAGAAGCACTCTGAACTTCAGATCTTCAGCGCTCTGTTAATAGCCTGAATGGGAATCCTTTCTTGTTATTTTGTTACATCCACAATGTTCTGTGTGTGAAGTTTACAACGTCAGAACACCTGCATGAGACAGGTGTTAATTACAATCTGCCAGAATGACTCACCACCTTCAGATTCCTCCAACAACGTTAAAAATTATCAAATACGGAACATATCGGCGTGTGCAGGCCAGAGTGCTGAAGCTCGGCGCATTGTTATTATTATGAAGCTAGGGCACATGTGGAGGACACGCGCGCAAAAGTATACTTGTTTTCAATTACATTTATTGGGCCCACTTACTTTTTCTTTGGCCCACCCACAAATGAGTTTCTACAATAATGGTGACACATGAAAGACTTCTCTGAGCTCCGCAGCCATTACACTTTTCACCTCGCGCACCCCCTAGCGGCAGC